GATTACAAGGCAGGGAGGACTCAAGGTCATTGTGGATCCCAAGTGAGTGACAGCAATAAACTACTTCTATGCCCATTCGCTTGTTTTTTAGCACCTTTACCAAGACCAAATGCAGAAGAGGAGCAGAATGGGGAATGATTTTTTTTTTTTACGGGATCACAGAAGGGAGGTGTCAGAGACCCTCAGGAATAACATTTGAGGACAGCAAACCTATTGCTGTTCAATCTTGGCCATCAATCATCCAGCTTACTGCAAAGGGAGTGCTGGCAAACACGGTGAGAAAATGGGCAGAACCCCATGGAAGGTCAAACTAAATGCACTTCAACAGTTTGCAAATTTAGGCACAGGAAGACCTATGTCCACCTCCTTTGGGTACCTAAGTTGCCATAGCTCTCAGAGACATCCTTATGCGTTAAGCTCTGAAAACCTTCTCCTGCAGAGAGATCGGTGTCCTGAAATCTCATTGCCTTTAGTGGGATGTGAAGATGCCCTACGTGGGGTAGGACAGTGTCTTACACCCCAATGCTGCAGTTCTTGCTTACTTGACTACTCTGGTAAAGTTGATGAGACTCCGCACCCACATAATGACTGTCAAAGCAAGGCAGACTGCAAACATGGGACAATAATTGTCCCAGAAGAACTGGAATGGGATACTATTATTTTATTAAGAACATCTTTCCTCACTTAATTCAGTGGCAAAACTCCCCCTGCTTTCTGGGGCATTGGATTTTAGCCTCTTCATGAGGATAGGAAGGTAGTGAGACAATATTCACAGCCTTATCCTCAGAGCTGCCAGCTATTGAGAAAAAACTTTTCTTTCTAATCTGGCTCTGTTATATTGATATTAAGTTAAGGCATGTGAGATTCCTTTCATTTCTCAGCCCTGAACTTTGAGTGTGTTGTATTAGGGAAAGTTATGACCTGGCTTTCACATGAATTATTCAGTCAACTGTTCTAATGTATTCTGCTGCCAGCTGAATTGTAGTATTTTAGGGTTTTATAGATGGATCAAAAAGGGTGCTGTTCTAAAAATGTACAGTGTAAACTGAAAGAAAGGGTTCAGATTGCAACTGTCTTCTGCTGATTATTTTACTTTCTCTGGACAAAGTCATACCAATGCTCCTATTTTTCAGCAGCCTCCCCCGCCTTAAATGCCAGACCCCATATGGGGCAAGCAGATTTGTTATGTTATAAAAGGGAGAGCTCTTCACAAAGGATCGATAGCAAGTGATCATTTACCAATATCCTTCTGACCCTTTTTTTTTTTTTGAAGGCACAGTTTAATTCTGGGTTTACCACTGAACTTGCATCTTGGAAAAGCCACTTCTTCCCAGTGCCTTAGTTTCCTTATCTATAAAAACAAAATAAATGCTACCAATCTTTGTAAAAAGCTTTGAAATTCACAGGTGTTGTATAAAAGCTAGGAATAATAGCAGAACATCGTTCTAGTTACATCCTGGAGTAGCTTTTGCTGCTGTTATTGTTGCCTTAAAGAAAGTCTGGTGTTCAGGCACTCTTGTATCTGGCAATCCAAACTGCATGGGAACCTTCTTAAGTGGATGGGTATAATTGTGCTAAAGAGAAAGACTGTGAATACAGGATCAGGACCTAGCTCTTGTTAATTCTCATTAATCTGTATTATATTCCCATTCATCTGATCCATATACACCAGCCAATTCAGAGTTATTTCCTTCAGGCTGTTTGCTTGATGTGCCTTCCTGCAGGGCCCAATCCGGGTGATGCTCAAATCCATGGGAGAGTTGCTGCTGGTTTTTCTGTGAGCTTAGCTGAACCGTTTGGACCAGAAACTGTGTTTCAGGGTCAGGAAGTGTTGGCAAGATTGGGTCCTCTTTTCCAATATGCGTTTGTCTGGAATATATATAAAGCTTGCTTCATCAACAGCCTGTATATATGGTCAAATGTTGAATTTTATCAAGTAAAAATCACAGAAAAGGCTTCATATATTAAGACCTTTATCACTCCATGCAAATAGTCTTTTATTTGTGCTAGGAGAAACCAACAAGCCCAAAGCCTTAGAATGCATTGCAATCCACAAACTGAAACAAGAAATCGGTTTTCTGGGCCAGTCAGGTTGGAATGGATTAAATTCTTCTGTCTGAAAGGGACTAGATAAATATTTTCCTATAGAGGTCAACCGCCCTAGCCTCCCTACATGCTAAAGAGGCAACTGTGGGCTTAATGGCTAGATAGATAAGCTCTTATCTAAAGGATACAACACTTAGCTTTACAGTCCGCACACTTATTTACCGATTGCTAATGGCTACTAAGTTTATGGCACTTGTGTCTCAATTGCGGTGAGAACAGCCCCGGTTATCCGGCCTTGAGAGCGCACCGCCGGCCTGGCGGAGCCTGGGACGGGATTTGGGTTGGAAACAGGGGTTTTAGCGGGGAGCCGGCCCGAGACGGGGTTTTGCCGCGCCGGGGCACTAAAAGAGGCCGCGGTCCCAGCCCGGCCGGGCTTCGTGGCCGAGAGTCCAAATACCGCGGCCGGCAATGCCTACACTGCAGACTTGTCCTTTCTCATCGTTAAGATCGTTAGTTTTGGCTGGAAATGAAATACATGGCATGTAAACCGCTCTGCTAGCGGGCAGAAAACGCACGCTCCTGCTGTAGTGTTTCTCATTATATTTCCCCTTTGTTCCTAAAAATGACTGAGTTATTGCATAATGCGGGAATTAAAGAAGAGGGGAAGTATATCATACAGATGGAAACGAAGACAGCTTGCCAATTATAAAGGTAAATGAATGCTCCGTTTCTTTTCTTGAGCAATTTCGCTATACAACTGATTGTTTAAGGGAATACATATATATTCGGGCAAATAAATAGTTTGTCTCCTCTATCCGAACACTTAAAAAAAAAAAAAACCCTCCAGAAACTCACTGGAGTTTCTTGCCTTTTTTGTGTCTTGAATTTTTTCCCCCGAATTTTGTGTGCGTGCAGTTTATTAGGTTAATAAAACCTGATTTTCGAGGTTTGGGGCGCCACGGGGGTGCAATGAGCTCGGATGTCAAATGCTATATCAAATAGCTAATGAAGGGATTTCAAAGGTCTCCGAAGTGTCCATAGCAGCAATCTGTAGTGTCTCATGGAGGGAAAGCCCATCGTGGCCACAGTTTGTTTTGTCTGATGGCTTTCCGGGTTCTTCAGCCCAGATCTGCTGTTTGCTTCCGATTTTACATCGCTTTTAGGTACCCCGTTCTCTCTGTCGCAGGAGCTGTAGTAAATTCTAATCATCCTATCATAAAGTGTGCTAAAGTCAGTATTTCAGAAAGGGCAAAAGGGAAGGAACGTATCGTGCATTAAAGGAGGGATTTAGCAAAAGGACTCGAGAAGCTAAAACGATGTGGGGGAAAAATCCTTACCCAAGGAGGCATTTTGCTATTTACACGTCTTGTTTGCGGAGGGAGGGAAAGCAGAGTCGCCTTTTTTTCCTGGTTTCTGTTATTTCAACTTATTTTTGGCTAGAAAAAGAATGCTTCTTTCTGGGGTTTGAGCTAGTGTGTGCGGGAAGGTGCCAGTGAGGGGTGGGAGGCTGCGGCGGCCCCGCAGCTTTCACCCAGGCCGGGCCTCTTGGCTCTCCCCAAATATTTTTTGCTCCAGTCTCTGCTCGCTGAGGAGCGCTACCTTTGAACCGCGGGTCTGCAATAAATTACCCGCGCTCCCACTAGCGCTGTTTCCCCCCCCGCTCCCGGAGACACAAGCGATCAGCGAGGAGCTGTTGTTAACCAAGCCGGTGTCTGCTGTAAAACCTCGCTGGCAGCCACCTCTTGTCATTTGTTAGGAGCTCTTCTCGGCTGCCAGGCTAAAGGCATCATCCATAAAAAGTCCACCGGCTTTTTGCAGCCGTGCCGCGACGCGTGGGGTGAGCCGCAGGCGGCGGGGCAGGGCGCTCCGTGCGCCGCTCTTGTCACACTTCAGCACAAAAGGGCTATTATGGAGCCCATAGATCAGCAGCAGCAAAAGCTTTCCTAAGGCCCAGATCTCTATATGAGGTTATAACAGCAGTGTTAATCTTCTATTCAGTGTTTACAGAGCCAGCTCATCCGTGGGGTGGGTGGAAGGCAGCCAGCTTGCAAGAGAACAGGCTTTATTAAAAAACACGAAGTTGTGTTGCTTTTAGCAGTGACCCCGGAGCGTGTTGCCGCGTTTCTCGGCGATGCGGCTCCCCGGGCCCGGCTCGCCCAGGGCAACCCCGGCCCCGGCCCC